CGCTCAACAAGACAGTCGCATATGTGCACTCCACGGCGAACTTCGCGATCGTGCTCAAGCGCAAGCTCGTCGACCTGAAGACGGCGATCACCGCGTGCTTCAGCGACGCCGCGTTCGCCAACGTGGACGGCGTCAAGAGCTAGTGGGGCATGGTGATGGGGCTCACCCATCGCCCGCGTGACGTCGTCGGCGGCCGGTACGACCTGTGCCTGCCCGTCGCCTGGCACTCTGGCACCCTCGCTGCCGAGGGCTACGCTGCCCTCGAGGGGTCGGAGACCAACATGCGGTTCCGACAGCTGCGGATCGAGGCCTACAACCCCAAGACAGCGCTCAAGCAGATCGACGTGCTCGCCGACAAGCGCCGTGGGGAGATCTACAGCGACAGCAAGGGTCTCGTGACGCACATCGCTTCAGATGTGGGCCAGTCTACTGACAAGCGGTTCCGCATCGTCGCCTCCATGATCAAGGAGGCCGTGCGCCCCAACAGTGCGCTCAAGCTCAGCTGGATCCCGACCTGGGCCATGGTCGCGGACGCCTTGACGAAGACGATGGAGGCGGGCGTCCTGCTGTCGTTCTTCGGGGCTCGCAAACACACCTATGGGACCCGGCAGCCACGCGCTGCCATGCTCGCATCAGTCCTGTTCACCTGCCTCGGCAAGGTCAAGGGACAGCTTACGCCCGCGCCGACTATGCCGGACTACAGCTTCTATATCTGCCTGGTGACGTTCACGCTGGTCTTCGGCATGACTATCGGTTTCGGCATCTTCATGACGCTCTGGACGATCCCGAAGCAGAACAACGCGATCGCCAACGGGGAGAGCGCCGCCGAGGCGAAGGCCATGGGCGAGCACCCTGGCTGGGACGGCCGCGTGCTCGGCAGACGCCGCAACATACCACCGACGATTCCAGAGGATCGAGATCACGATGGCGACATCACTATGTCCCATGCGGACGTCTTCAGCAGCGCACAGGCATCGAGTTCAGTAGCATCTGCTACGATTCAGCAGCCGCCACCGCCGCAGGTACCGACAGAACCACCGCCTGCCATCGCACCGCCACCGCCATCACCATATGCCGCAGCATCAGCACGGGGATCTGGGCGATCAAGATCAGCAAAGTCGCAGGGAAGTTCGGCTCCAGCATCACCAACCGTGGTTTCCGTGACGAGTTCATCGAGTTCCGTTTCAGCCTCATCGGCCAGTATTGTGTCGTGGAGCGGATCCTCCCCGACGGTGCAGCCGAATGACATGCTCAGTTGCGTGACTGGCATTCCTCATCATGATGTGGTCATCGGCCACAACCCGCAGAGTGTATACATCACTTGCAAGACCTGCAAGAAGCACGCTTCGTGGCTGCTTCGGCATTATCATCTCGGAAATCCCGATTTCACGATCTTCCCGGAGAGTGCGATGAATGACCTCAAGGGCCGCTAGTGGAAGCTCAAAGGCAGAGATGCTTGGCGGGGATCCGATGTAGCGGACAAGCCGGCGAAGCCGAAGAAAAAAATAACCCCGCTTGGTTTGACGCCAATTTGGCCGATCGGACCGGAAATGTTCTACCGCCCATGCAACGCCCGGTCAAGATTTCTGTATTCCGCATCGTTGCCAATACTATGCCCGGTCAAGATTTACGTTTTCCGATATCGTTGTTTTTACACTTGGATAAAGACCCACACGTAACCCCCGCGTTTTTTCTCGAGAAGTTTCATTCGTTTCAGTGCGCACAGCTTTTGTTTGTGATGACGATCGCACCCGTTTAGCATCTTGAAAGGATGGCTATATCTTTTGGGTTCTGTCGCATCGCGATCGAACCCCGGCCATTGTTGAGTATGCCTTGTACGCTGTACAATGCAAGCCGTTTGTTTGCTTATCTCCGTGGCTTTTGCGTGCGAGCGACTTGCTTGCTATTTGCTATAGTCCCCGCTCTGACGCCCGAGACGGCGATCCGAGCATGTCTTAGGAGGAGTGTGAATCAAGCTCATTCCCCAGGAATGTAAGTGGCCCGAGGGGGTTTCCCCAGAAGCCTCGAGGGGCCTGCGGTTTCATTCCTTGCTCGCCGTTGCCATTTCTATTTCTCAGGGCCCTTGGCTTTAGGGCTACGCCAGTTGTTCGAGCCGCGCTCAGAGCAAAAGCATCCCCGGCGCTGCGCGCCGATCCATATCACAGGTCTGACCGCCCACTTGTCCGATAAGAGGCGGACGAAGTGCTTGTGCGCAATGGTGCAGGAGCCGGCAAAACACCCGAGGCTTAGCAGCAAGGTGCGCGCCGAGCTGGACGTGAAATATTGGGCTCAACGAGCTGCTGCCCAGCGCCCCCGCCATTCCCACGTTCTTGCGAAGGGAGGTTGCACGAGACGAGGTGGCAGTGCAGTGGGGCGGCCTTCCTTGTAGCCACCGCCGCGTCGTGTGTTTTCAAATACTTGTGCTGGCTCTTTACATCTCGCGCAACCCCCGCTACATATATTTGGCCTGTGGGTCGGGATCCCCGGGGGTGCGTGTGAGGGTCTCTTGGGCCGCCTTTTGGAAAGATCTTGGGGGCATCTGGTTGGCTTTGGGGGACCTCTCGGGAGCCTCTTGGGTGCTCCTTGGATGGCTCTTGGGGCCTGTGGGGGGCGCTCCGGGGTTCAGTGGGGGGCTTCGGGGGCGATCACGGCAGGGCAGACTCAAGATGTCAGTTCGCGTTGCCCTTTGCGGGCCTCTCTTGGGGCCCCTCTAGGACGTCTTAGGGGCCTCTGGGGCCGTCTTGATGCCTTCTTCGGGTCCTCTTGGGGTCGTTTTGGGCCGTCCTGGAGCCCTCTTGTGGGCCTCATGGGCAGTTGTGGGACGATTTTGGTGGCCTTTGGGCCGTCTTTGACGCCGCGAACACAACAATAATTCGTATGCTAAACGTATCCGTGTTTTCCTGAGGGGCTCTTTCGGCGGTCCTCTTGGAACATGTGTGGGCTGTCTTGAGGGCCAAGTGGACCGTCTCGAAACCATCCGGGACCGTCGCGGGGCTACTTGGGGCCATCGCGACGCTCATGTGAATTATCTTGGCGCTTTGCTTGGGCCTCTTGGGCTGCCTTGGCGCTCTGGAGGGGTTCTGGAGGCGCCGGGGATACGTTTGGGGGCTCGAACCGCCCCCCGCCCCCCTCTCCCTTCTAATCGGAGTTCACGACGCCACCACGACAGAGCTCAAGCACCGCATTAAGGCAGCGTGGGCATGCTTCAATAGCTGTAGACAGGAGCTCACCAGCAAACATGATCCGCTGGGCAACCGGCTACGACTATACCAAGGAAGCGTCATACCTACAATGACGTATTGTGCGGAAACGTGGACTTTGACAGAGCCCCTGAAACAGCAGTTTCGCAGAACACAGCAAAGAATGGTCAGAATTATTATCGGGACGCCACGTCGGCCGAGTCAAAGCGATGGGCACGACGCCGGCAACATTGTGACGACCGACGCCGATACCAGCGGATCAGACGTATGCAGCAACCCGCCTACGGACCACGATGATCTTCAGCACGACAACGTCGAGGAAACGACACAAGAGGACAATGGGCCAGACGACGATATTGAACCATGGGCCGATTACATTCGAAGGAACACGCGGATTGCAGAAGCAATGATGCTCAAACACAAAATACCCGACGTGCTAGTCATACAACGAAGGATGGTTTGGCGATGGGCAACTACTGTGGCGAACCACTCCCTTACGCGCTGGACACAGAATGCATTGGGATGGAATCCAAACACAAACGTTAAGCAACGAGGGAGGAGACGACATGGAGGTCAATGCAAACGTTGGGAGGATGATATCCGGAAGTTCCTACATACATTGGGCGGGAGTATTTGCGTCGACGCTGATGAGCAGGGAGACACACTGGCAGCGACCGTCCCCCGACTACACGAGCACACCAACACTAACGATTTGCGATGGATCCGGGCTGCCGCACATATTGGATGGTGGAGGAGACATGAAGCCGCCTTTGTTTCACAACACTGTTTTTTTCCATGTCGAGGCCACGGCCTCCACCGCCACGCCCTAACGGGCGCGCGCGGGCACCCACGCGGCGCGCGCGCGGATCTGGCGCTCCTTCTTTCCTTCCTCTAATCGGATTTCAGACCCCAGGAGGGGTGAAATGGTGGAGGGGGACAGCAAATCATTTCACACGCCTTTGCAACCCCGACAAGCGGGGGTCGGCGGATTTATAGGATCCCCAAACAGTGCTTGCACTTAGGGGATCTGTTTTTTTTCTAAGGAACTAGGTTTCGCTGCCTGGTCCGCCGCCCTGTGGTCGCCGTCGCCGCCTCGTCGTCGCCCGTCGTTTGGGCTCGGCTGCTTGGTCCGCCGCCTTGTGGTCGCGGTCGCCGCCACGTCGCCGCTGCGTCGCCGCCCGTCGTCTGGGTTACGTTGTCGGGTACGCCGCCTTGTGGTCGCAGTCGCCGCGCCGCCTAGTCGCGCTGCTTTACATTGATTTGCTGTGCATTGCTTGAGTTGCATTGCTTTGCCTGGCGTTGCATTACTTTGCGTTGTATTACTTTACTTTGCGTTGCATTGCTTTGCACTGCTTGGCGCTGCTTTGTGTTACTGTAGATTGCTTTGCATTGCTTTGCTTCACATTGCGTTGCATTGTGTCGAAATGTTTGGCATTTCTTGCTTTGTCTTGCATTGCGTTTCATTGCTGTGCCTTGTATTGTGTTGTGTTGCTTTGTTTTGCATTGCGTTGCCCCGCATCTATTGCGCCACATTGACTGCACAACCTAGATTGCTCGACATAGATTGCAAGGACTCACTGTTCGGGATCCACGCTGGCCTACATATTGTATATATACACACATAAACAGGTTGAGGAACCAGAAAGGATATGAGGATCAGGAATATCAGGAAGAGGAGGATGCTCAGGAGGCGGAGGAGGAGGCGGAGGAGGCGTGCGCCGTCGCCGCATCCTCGATCCTCGAGCTTCGATCAAGAAGCAGTCCGAAATCTTTTCAAGATTTGGCCTTCCATCTCCCCAG